TATGACGCTCAGGGTATCAATTGATGTTACAGCAGTGCTTCTGACCCGGCGGTCGTAGGGATCGAATCTCGACGGTGGTAATATTTTCGACATTACCTTCTTAGCTCGGTCGAAGTCAACTGTTGTCTGGAGGAGCATTATAAAGGCCGGCTGCTCTGATCGGTAGTTTCCATGTTTTTGTATGCACTTTTCTTATAAACGCAATAGATCTTTCCAGTCTCTTCTTTGTCCTATCATCTCCCCTTGTTTACACTTACACTCACTACATTACCACAAATGCCGAGAGATGCCTCGGGAGCTTAGAGCTTGTCCGGTCTGTGGTGGTGCCCCGCTGGTGGGAGATACCTGGTAGGGAAATTCCCACGAGCAGACGGGTAGGTTTACGCCGGAACTCGCCATCCAGCGGGGAATTTCAGCCCGCTCCCGTAATAAAAACTTGCACTATCCGGTGGCCGAGATCGCTAAGGTAGTGGTGCCGTAGCGATCTCGGGCCGAAGGATCGCGGGTTCGAGTTCCTCCTCGGCCATGGTTGTATTTGTGTTCGTCCTTTCATCCCGCATCACCACCATATCATTTCACCTAGTTCACAGTTACCCATAACGTTAAAATCAATAGTGGTCGCTAATGACCAAGATGTTTATGCGACTTTGAGTTTTAAAAAACCTGCACTAAACGTACGGGACTAATGACCTTAGCAGTTGACGCACCTGGAATAACTAATCAATCTTTCTGAGGGAGGAAGATTAGTCCCCGTTTCATCTTCTCTTAAACGTGTATGAGATTTCAAAACTCTTATTTTCGAGAGTGCCAGGGGAGCGAATGCCACCCCCGCCCCGTATCTTCTGTCAATAATCTCTGCTGTACTCTCAATTTTCTGGTTTTCCCAAAACCATTCCGCCTGCATAAACTCTACAGTCCGCGCGCACTAGTTACTCATGGCTAGCATATCACTAGTGACGAATCACACACGATCATCACACGATCATTCGTAGTGACTAATTTCTCTTAGCGAAGAAACTTTTTTAATATATTCATGTAGTGCTAGTCATTCATAACGATTTTACCGAGTATTAAACTTCGTAGAATTGGGCATTGGCAGCGGTAAGTTTGTTTCCTTCACATTCAAGAAAGAAGTTTGCTTAGTTTTTAAGTATTTCTTATGTTTTTGTTTCGAAGTAAGTTTTATTTATGAAAGAGGATCTATAATTGTATACTGTATAAAGTTTATGAAAGGTAAGGGTAATTTACTTTTTGAGTATTTTAAATTATTTTTAGTGCTTTTTGTGGTACGACCTACTATGAACTGTTTTGGCACTATGCACTCCTTCAGTCTTCATAAACTTTCTCAGATTTCTACTTATGTAATAATTTAGGTTTTATATTTGTAGTGTGTATTAAATTCGTATCTTTGAATTGCACCAAAGAGTTTATATGACAAGTCTTAAAAATGTAATATGGACCTTTCTTATTTTTCCAATGTTGCTTTTTGCTACACCTCATAAGATTGAGAAAGTATCTATGACGGTCTAAATACTGATTTACATGTTGTAATTTCCATATTATCTAAAGTCTAGAGTGGTTACCAGCGGATCATATTTTATTAACTATTTTTTAATAGGATAAGACGTAGCCTTTACGACGCAGCAACTTGTTTTGCAGAGCACTTTTTGCAAACACGGTGAATGTATATTCAGTGATATCTGATTACACTGGCATATTTTGTTCATCAATATTACGAGTATATACAGATGTTTGAGGAGTTTCTGACGTTGTTGTTCAAAATAGATGTAAAAGAAAGAAAATGAGATGAAGAAGGAGAAGAAGAAAATTATGAAATACTGACTATCGAGTTCGCTATTTCCAAAAATTGTGAACGTAACATTCTATTTTTTTATACTTCAGACGTTTGTTTTAGTTTCTTTCAATGTTTTATAACATACGAAAACAAATACTTTCTCCCCATTTCTCTTTCTCTCCTCTCTCTCTCTCTACCTTTTTCTCTTTCTCTCTCTCTACCTTTTTCTCTTTCTCTCTCTCTACCTTTTTCTCTTTCTCTCTCTCCACCTTTCTCTCTCTCTCTCTCTCTCTCTCTCTCTCTCTCTCCACCTTTCTCTCTCTCTTTCCGCCTTTCTCTCTCTCCACCTTTCTCTCTCTCTCTCTTTCTCTCTCTCATACACACACGCGCGCGCGCACACTCACTCATATGCATTCATCGATCCTTGAGCATTACTGCACTCTCTCATTTGACCTAATATTCCCAAAACCTGATGACACAACAGAACAACCGTTTTGCTTTGGGGGGGATTTGAGTTCATTTTCTAGCGCTTTTTGAGTATTCCGTCTGTTTTTGAAGAACACATTTCAGTGAAGGAAAAATTTCTATAGTCAATATTGTAGGAAGACGCCGAATTTTTTTTGTTAAACTTTTGCAATTTTCTTAAATTCAGAAATGTTCAACAGTTTAATTTTAACGAACATTTGAATATTTATTTACGCTATTCGAAGATTGAGTTTAATACAAAAATTCGGAGCCATTTTTAAGGAGATTTTGAAAAATGTTGAGGTTTCAAGTAAAGAATCCCTAAAAGTCAAAAAGTCCGTTTCAAACTCGCAGGGCCTCCAGTTCGTTCAGATAGATCGGTGAATATCAATTTTGGAGCAAATCGTCTGAACGGCGAGGCTCTAGTGTTGACCACAGGCAGACGAACAGATGGACGGACAGATGGATAGATCGGCATATGATTGGACGAGCTGACATTTTACTGTCAATCGATTTTTCCGTATTAAAGACCCACAAAACATGAATTCTGACTACATAACCAGTTAGAGAAGGTAATTAACTACATATAGGAACAAGATGTATCCACTTTGTCGTTACTAGAGCTCCGCAATAAAAGTTTTCTGTAAAAATATCGTCGATTACAATACTTTCTACCCTTATTAAGTAAGACAAGAAAGTAAAAAAACAAACAAGGAAATGATTACACACTTCCCTGTTCCTAGATACCTGAAAAAGAAATATTTATTTTGGATTAGAAATCCGATTATGCATTACTAATATAATTCTTTTGTTAGTATTATCTCACACCAAACAATGCATTGCGAACGCATTACTACTCCAGGACCTGAGTACAAGTGTTTCCCAACAGAGGGAGAAAAGGACACAGACTGGGGAGTCACAACCAATGATTTTTGTGATAACATTCCTAAGCTTGTTGTGAATTTTCATATTGTAATTTGCATTTCCCGTCATTCATAAATGCTCTGTTCAATAATATTTTGGCTTAAGAAGAAGCCTCATGTGGATACAGAAGGTCCATTTACTTCGACGGTTTACAAAACAGTTGGAGAGACTATAAGAGTTACAGTTGCCCTACTCCCGGCAGATCATGAGTTTACGCCAAGTACATTCATTTGCGATAACAGCCGAGTGATAAGGGAAAGCCTTGAAGTAACTAATATTTACGTTTATTTTTGTTTGAAAGTGTTGCACTCACTTATTTTGAATTAGGAAGGCAAGATTCGTTTGTGCATATTAAATACGAAGACTCAGAATTTTCGTTCACGTTCACTACCGATTCGTGCATTCACAAACATTGGTATTCCCAAAAATGTTTGAGATATCCCAGAAGCAAAGGTGCATATTAAACGAAAAATAAAGGCAAAATGTTAAGTCTCTTCAGTTTTGAAAAAGTGGATTTAAAAATCTTATTTTACCAGCACGTTCTTTCGCTGCATGGTTTAAGCACATGCAAAATTCACGCGTTGTCATAGCACGAGTCATGCGAGTTGTCGTCGCAATGCACGACTTGTCATAGCACTGCGTTATCAAATGATTCAGTTTTGCCGTGATGCACAACCGGTTGAAATGTAGCATTCTAATTAGAAGCTATTTTCGTAACCACGTTCTCTCTGTTCTTAATAATGTCGACTGCTACATGCTCTGTCTAATGGTGTACAAATATGAACACATCCACGTATTTACTCTTTGTAGGTATTCATGTAGATATGTGATTTCCTCCTGATTCTTGAACTTTTCACGAAGGTAACACAGATGTTTGAATCCAGATTTAGCACATATATATTGACTTTTTACTTTCTCGTATACGTACGTATGTATATACGGAATGATATACGTAATATAGGGAAAGTTATGTAATGCTGCGGAAATATCTATTTCGAGATTTCAACGGAAATACACGTTTTGAGGTCCCCTGATACTTAAAAAGAGTTTTTTTAAATGTCTGTCCATCGGATTCTGTCACTTATTACTTCAGTCAACACGAATCATTTCGAAAAATCAGAAATATTGGCAAATGCCGTTTTAAACACACATTGGCTAATAGAAATAAATTTACCCAAAAGACCATAAGTGTTCGCTACAACAACGTAAGGGCTGCATCAGCGCAAGGATCCACTGGTCTGATCGCACTCGAACTGAATTTCGTCTTTGTAGGGACTTCCCCCGAGCATCGCTCTCTCCGTCGCGGCAATGCTGCAAACATTGCTGGTAGCCGAGCACACAACCAACTCTGTACCGCGAGAAAATATTTGCCGCATTAAAGCCTCCTGAGTCATGACGTTAAATAAGTTACAAATCTTTCAAAACAAAATCTTAAAGAGTAACAGTAAATGCCCTCTGGTTAGTCAGCAATAAGACACTTCACAACGATATCGCATTAAAACCGATTACTTCTTTTATTACGAAACTGGCACCAAATTTCTTCAATAATTTAAATCAGTACAAGGAGCAGTCACTTACGAAATAGGAACTGATCAACCCCACTCTCCAGTCTAAAAATCAGACTCCCATATCACATTTTCCTTCAATATCTCTCCGATATTAGATAAGTTAAGGACATTTCTTCCATTTACTTGTCTCTCCCATCGCATCCCTTTCCAAGCCCGGTCATCGCTCTCTACCGAATGTTCCTCGCAGTAACTTTGGTTGAAGGTACATAACCTAAGAAATCACCATCTGGGAGGTGACAAGAAGTTACCCCCTTCACACTTTGCTGATACAAAGCTACTCGGTCAATCAACTGAAGAGCCTCACGACTGAACGTTGTACTATCTGTCATAGTGAAATAAAAATAAAATAAAAAAGCCATGACGTCACTTTCTTCGCACATGCGCAGAAAAGCCTCCAGGCCTCACATCGTCGTCTGTGCTTCTAAGCACCGCGCGAACGATCACTTTCATAAGGATAAAATAGACTTGTGTTAATTAGTGCAGGGGTTGGAAAACACGTGCTGCTAAAATTGTATATTCTCGTGTGGTGGATAATAATATTTTAATACTTTATTCACAAGTGCTTGAATTAATGGGAGTGTACGTACTCTTGAGAACCCTATGATGAGTCACCCCTGAATAAATTATTAAGTAATTGAAGCTGCAAGTTGAAATAACAAAAAAAAAACAATAAAATAAAATAAAATAAAAGGAATAAATAAAATAAACATGTATAAATGAAAATCTTTTAACCGAAACGGGGGAGTTTCCCAATATGCTTAGTTGATAAAAATCAATAAGAGTTTATGCAATAATCAAGGAATTCATTGACGGGAGGGGAAAGGCCACCCATAACAAAACAAATTATTACGCGTAATAGGTCCCGAGAATGATGGGTATAACCGATGAAAGAGAAACAGGAAGGAACCTCAACGGCGGTGGCACACGCGAGGAGGTTGAGCCAGGCCAACGAGAGAAAGCCTTCCGGCAGAGCGTGGACGACCTCGACCGTGACCTTGGGCAGACGCGCTCCATGGCAACACAGCCCAGCCCTGCTCAACATATTCTCCGGTTTCTTTATAGTGACTTCTGACGTTCGTTCAGCAGGGGCAGGCTATTCAATCGGGAGCATCAATATTAAAAATTTAGTTGTGCGGGAGCTCCCAATTAGATAACAGCAACCAGCTGATCGAACGTCAGAAGTAACCATAATTAAATTGGGAGTTTAGCCAGTCAGTCGTCGTGCCGCGCCGGGCGTCGCGCGGTGTGGATAGGAAGCAGCTGAAGGTCTTCAAGCAGTTCACCTCGTCTTGCCACGCCGATCAGTCCCGTCGGCTAGTCTTCCGTCCACTACTGGTCCCATAGACGGGCGTCCAGGGTCGGGGGGAGTGCCACCTTGAGAAGTGAGCATCATTTGTTTCAATGTTTAATAAATTTGGCAGTAACTGTTTGAAAGAAGGAGGTCCGAGAGAGAAAAAAAATATTTCAGTTTCTTGCCACGCAATTCTTTTGTTCAATGTACAAAAACAATAGTATCAGAACAACAACAATACTACTGATAATATACAGCAAAATTTCAAATCGGTATCTCCAATAGTTTGTGAAATAATGGGTCATGAAAATTAAGAATTTAAGATGGGTAACATATCGAAGGAGAGGGAATATAATATTAAATATGTTCAATCTTTGATTTTTTCCATTGTTAAATGACATTTACGACAAGCGGCTCTCCATGCCATCTGCCTATCGCATAAATGATATAATATAAAATCAATTGTATTTATCAATTGTATCGTTACACTTATGACTTCGCTCTACTTGTATCATTAATTTACTAGTAATATAATGTTATGTGTAGATACAATTCAGCAGAAAAGATAGCCCAGGATTGTTTTGTCCCCCCCCCCCAATTTTTGCTCCAGGATGCGCACGCCTGCGGTTAGCACGAAATTTCCAATTGCCTAAACGCCCGGGAATACTGAACACTGAGAAACAGTCGTTGCGTTGAAGGAAGTTTACATTAAGTTGGCTGTATCAAGTTCTCAAACCCGCTGGGCGGGATATGTGATTTCTTAAGCACCTGACTCGTCTGACGAGTCCCTTGAGTCGAGAAGATGTCCAAGGGAGAGGCTGTTGCAACGCTTCTTGAAAGTTAATTTCTACTTCTTCATATACGTACGTATATACGGAATATTATACCTAGTATAGGGAAAGTTATGTAATGCTGCGTAAAATGGATTTCGAGATTTCAAAGGAAATATTAATTATGGAGTCCCCTGATAACGAAAACGTGGTTATTTTCAAAACGTCTGTCTGTCCGCCTGTTCGTCCGTCCGTTCGTCTGTCCGTCCGTCCGTTCGTCTGTCCGTCCGTTCGTCTGTCCGTCCGTTCGTCTGTCCGTCCGTTCGTCTGTCTGTCCGTCCGTCCGTCCGTTCGTCTGTCCGTCCGTCCGTCCGTTCGTTCGTCTGCCCGTTGGATCGTTCCTTCGTCCGTCCGTCTGTGAACACTACTAGCGGCTAAAACATGGGTACGTTATTTTTTCACAATGAAGAAACCCCTGCCCATCTGGCTCCAGTAGAATCGTAATGATTTTGAAAAAAATCTTCAATTTATTAGTACTTTACATGAAGCCTCCCGAACATTTTGAAAGTTTTGTGCAATTTAAAAAAAAATACAAAATCAAGCTTTTCTCAAAAACGGCTTCAATGTTTTTCTTTTAAATTTTGATGGGGGTTGTGCTAAATGCACACTATGAAATGACTTAAACGCCATATTACTCTATTCTTTTGTTGTTTCAAAATTTCAAAAAAAAATTTTTTTGACTTGTTTCCTACGTCGTTAATATTTATATTAGCGGCAATTTGTTCACATTGTATTTTTGAGTACATTTGCTTTAAATAATGCTAGCTAAAGCTTCGCGAAAACTCAACCGTTTCTGTCAAAACTAGCTCAAAATTTCGCGATATCAGTCACGCTGAAACGCCATTTTCTGAAAATGGCTCCATTTTTTTCTTCGAACTTTTCGTGCGGAGAGGGCTAATTGCATTCTTTGATATGATGTAAAATCCATTTCGGGGTATTTTTTTGTTTTTTTCAACAATAACACAAATGTAATTTTTTTGAAAGATCTCTCTCGCCGTTAATATGCACATTTCCAGAAATTTGTTAACATTATTGTATTTTTGAGTTAAAATGCTTCAAGTGACTTGAAATGAAGTTTTTCAAAAACACAAAAATTTTCTTTGAAAATGTACTTCAAATTTTGAATTTACTGAATTGCTCAAGCGTCATTTTCTTAAAAACAGCTCCAAATTTTTCAAAGAAAATTGCCAATTATGATAAGGTTTTACTGTTATTTAATATCTTTAATATAATATTTCTTTAACTTTTAGAAAAGATGACATATTAAGAAAACTTCCAAAAAATGTAGTTGTTCAATGATAGATGGCAACTGGCAAGAGTATGTGGCAAGTCCGAGTAGCTAGCCGAGACCGAATGAAATAGAAAACTAATGCAGGAAAGTCTGTTGCATATCTAGCACTAGTTACTAGATATAATTGTATTTCCCTCCAATACAAGTTACGTACTCAAGTACATGTCGATAGACTGCAGTAAAACAACTTCTTAATTATAGTAGGTTTTTTCAATCATCACCTTTCATCTTTCTCTTGTAACTAATTTTCCCTATTCTAACCAAAATTGTAAGGTATTATTCCGCAGTATACTAGGACAATGTTTAAGGGTATGTATAAATTATAATAATCGCTGATGCGGTAGAACTTTATATTCTCTTTTGTGTGATACCTATTGCGTGTGATTAATATTTTAGGATTTCATTTACACTTCGTCAATGCGTTATTAATGCGAACAGATCGGCGATTAGTATCCAGACGACTTGTAGATATTACGAGAATATTGTTACTCCTACCTGCATTAAGACGTGTGAATCGACCCTTAATCATCGTAGTGCTATATGAATCTCTCGAATACCGTAGTGCGGTCACTAGTACCGTTCATCCTAATTGTTCTGTTCATTCTGTTCACAACGAGTACATAATTAATTTCTTCAAAACACTGCTGTAAATCTAGCGATTTACAACGGTTTGTTTTCTACTATTTAGAAACTGATTAACAAGATTAATTGATTCATTACTGGGCAATTGGTTATTTGGTTGATCTCACGAGATATTACACAGTTGTTAGCCAGGATTTAGAGGTTAGGTAGGAAGTGATAATTCCTACAGTTTTATTAAGAACTTTGCCTAAATAATTACTGATCGAACGAAATTTCCAAAGGGTAGCAGCGAGTAATCTGAAAAAGAAACTATTTACATCGCTCATGAGCTGCAATAGTAGCACTTTAAAAATATACGAATTTTGAGTTAATACACTCACGAATGGCAAATTGCCATACCTTCCAGCAGCAACAGCAGCACATCTTAGAGTGTAATATTCCACCAACAAATGGCAGAAGTGGAAAAGCAAGGATGATTCATTTCAATACAAGGTGGAAACTTCAAATTCGTTTATCTCAACACTTGTTTGTTTTTTTTTAGTTGTGACAGTATTGCAATACACGCATGATATGGCGAACAAAAGTAGTCGTCACGTTTTCGCTGAAGTGTTTAGTACGTTAATTTCAAGGACACTTCTGATACCGCAATGGCAATGCAATGTCGCACATCTGGAGAGTTTTTCCTTGCTGTTAAATTCCACTCTCGAAAAACAGTTAAATACCATTTTCGTGGATATAAAAAGATATCTATGCCTCCAGGTTTGTCTGTAGGGTCGGAATTTGAGGACTTTTTCTTTTCATTAACAATCTTAAATGGAAAATCCAAAAATATGGCTAGGAATTTAAAATGTGAATAAGACTTCTACCTCTTTCATAAATTGAACAATAAGACATTTAACTACTCACCCCTTTGCTCAAAATCAAAAGTAATTTAATATAAATTACCCAAATGTAAGATCTTCATTATGAAATGAAATCTTCACGTAGGATATGGGAATTGAAGATTAAATTCGTTAACATATTCTATATGATAAAAACCCTTACTGTTAAATCTCGCTACGGTTACCATGAAATGTCTCTTTTGGAAAGCTATGCGGTTGTTGCCGCCGGTTTCTCCAAACTTATAAGCATTTCAGAAAGTTTTTTCCGGAATAGCTTTCAATTCATCATATAAAACTTGATACTATCAAAGATGTCAAAATAGTATCCTTTCAACCTTTCATTGATTGTAGTATAAAGAAAGAAGTGAGGTGTGCGTTAACTGCATATGGAGTATGATAGATTGAAGATACAGCCGAGTCTCGTTATAATGAAGTACATGAGGAACT